ATGCATAAGGAATTTGATTGGTTCGTTTCCTTATTCGCATTTGCTTACGGACCAATCAATTTCTTCATGCATATGCTTATGCACTTGTGCAGAAATGTGTGCGCCCCGCCTGTGGCTGAAACATTGAAAGGTAAAAAGGAAAGAAAAACGAAAAGAAACGAATTGGCGACTAATTCTCGCGCCGAGAGAAGAGAAGCCGCTTCTCCGAACGGGATCAGCGCGTATGGACGTCTTTCCATAAAAGTGCCGAAGATCATCTCTAAAAATATAATGACTGACGCCTTTAAGCGCGAGACGGACGCGCGTCCGACGGGGAAGGGAGAGGGGAGGGCACGTCGCGTCGCGGCTTCAATCTGGATCGAGCGCGACTTCACGCGCGAGCGACACGCACGCAACAGGTTACGCGCGAGCGACCGCTGTGTATCGCCGTCCCGCGACGACCTAATCTCGATGCGCGCCGGCGTTTCGCGCTCCTCGGCTTCGGCGCCCGGCTCGCCGTCCTCGGCAGCTGCCGCGCGCGCGCGGCGCTGAAAGAATTACCACGGGCTTTGTTCTCCCGCGAACAGTGCGCCTTTTGTTGGGCCTTAATATTCACCCGCGCCCGAGCGGCGCTACGAATTTGTGTTCTTTTTTTTTCTCTTCCACGGGAGAAGAGAGGCGCGAGGGTACCGTTGTCGCAGGACACATCTTTCAAGCGTATTGATTGATGAATAGAAAAGTTCTCGAGTACGCCTAAATACTTTCTGTCCGACAGCCAATCAACACGCTTAAAAAGTTCCTCGTTCTACAAATGTAATAATACCTTAAGGGCTGCGCCACACAAAAAGAAACTTAAGCAGGAAGCGGCCAATAAAAAACTGAAGCAGTAAAGCCTGTCACACAATGCCAGGCAACAGGAACAGGGAATAGAATTTCTGACGCATTGGATTGGTTGGAAGAAAATTTCCGACGAATCTAACGCGCCAAAAATTCTATTCCCTATTCCTATTGCCTGTTGCCTGGCATTGTGTGACAGGCTTAAGACTTAAGAATTTCAACCAGTCGGAATTTTAGCGTTGTTTAAGTTTCAAGATGGCTGCTCACGTTCTCGACAGTCATTGGTCGTTTTCCTCAAGTCTTAAGTTGTACCGCTTAAGTTTTCTCGTGTGTCTGGGCCAAGAATTCCGTATGGTCGAACAGCTTACGTCTCGAGTCTTAAGTCTTTTTTTTCTGTTTTTGTACCGCGAGACCCTGAGATATTTTCAGGGGCTGCTCGCGGATCTTTTCTAGTACAACGGGGATACTTTTGTACGGATACATGTCGGGTGCGCGAAGGTAAAGGCCTTCACACATAAAATTCCGTAAGGACGTAAAACGTAAGCATAAGAAAATCGACCAATCACAGTCGAGAACGTAAGGCAATAACGCAAGCAGTAGCAAATCCAATCTGTTGATTTTCTTACGCTTACGTTTTACGCCCTTACGGAATTTTATGTGCGAAGGCCTTAACATTGCGCGATGTAAAATTACGCATGGTTTCGATGTAACGTGTAACATCGACGGGGTATACGGATTTCGTTAACAGACGCGAGGCCTGTTGACGCGGGCTCTCGCCGACCCTCGTTGAAGTCGCGCCGCGTAATTAGGCGTCAGGTCGGTAGCGAGTCGCCCTCCCGAAGCGTGAAATATTACTGTTCGGGCGCAACGATCTCCTCCGCCTCGAGCGCGCCGCGCCGTCGGCAATTAACCGGTAATCTGATATCGATAGCGGTATACCCGGCACGTCGGGCCGGCCGGGGAGATGCAAACGGGATGCGCCGCGTCGCTACTTGAAAGCGCAGCGTGGCGCGCACCCCCGTAGCGTTCGATCACGGGCCGTCGCTTCTTTCGATCCTGGCCAAAATACAGGTCCGCTCCCCTTCGGTTACGCCTCCGCGCATTTTCTTTCTTCCGTGAGGTGACCCGAATCAGACCTGAGGCCCGTTCCACGCGAAAAGGTTCTAATCGCGGTCGTAGGGCAAATCGACCAATCACAGTCGGGCATTCTTGCTATGTCGAGCAACTTTTACGATTACGAGCACAACTCGTGTTCACTCGTGTAACAGCACTTTCGGGCTAACATTACATTTGTCGTATGACACATTTTTGCTGAATAAAAGGTTTCTAGATACTCGGAAAATTTTATTATCCCGCAACCAATCGGCACACTTGAAAAATTTGTCGTGCGACAAATGTGACACCAGGGGGTCAATTCTGTATCTCACACTATAGTGAAAATGCTAAAAGTGGGATAGCTTTATGTCTTTCTAGCCGTCCCCTCAGCTTACAAAGCCACGCACTTTTAGCATTTTTACCGTATAAGTGCAAGATACAGAATTGACCCCCTGGATCGCGACTCGGAGATACGAATTCGGTTCAATGTCGAACTTGGATCTTTGTTCCTCCTGCACGACTCTCGCCTCGTTTCAGTTGAATCCTCGATTCATAATACTGGATCTTCAATGCATAGTCTGACATGGGCTTATTGGGCTTCCACTTCTGGAAGAGGGAGCAGAAGAGGAGAGAAAATAAGCGTGAGAGCTGCGAGGGACTCGGAACGAAGCGGCTCCGGGCCTCTTCCAAGTGAGAAGCGCGTCACGTACGACTCCACACCGCGCAGCATAATTCTTCATATCAAGGCCGTCTTTCTCTCTCGTCCCTTTTCGCGAGAAATGTATCGACAAACGTAACAAGCTCGATAACGGGGATACACCTGCGCTGGTAATTGTACCGCGAAGTACAGCTGCGAAGTCGAACGCGTCGACGCGCATTGAAAGTAATTTCAATTTAAAGTTCAGCTCTGGACTCTCGGTTGAATTTCGCGACGTCGGTTGCGCGCATCCGTCGGAGTATGCAAATGCCGCTAAGCTTCCGAGAAAAAGAGAGAGAAAGAGAGCGAAAAAAAAGAGGCAGGAGAACTCGGTCTCGCTGTCCCGGCTTGGGGAAAAAGATTCTAGATTCTAGCCGGGTTCTAGATTCCGCAGTAACGCGCCGCGCATAGACATTCGCGCCTTTCCGAGGAGCCGCGCCGAAGAAGAGGCGGGTATCGCGATCCCGTCCGTGGGAGAGAAAGAGAGACGGAGAGATACGGAAAAAGATCTCCGGGTCTCTGCGCCGCCGCCGCCGCCGTCGCCGTTCGCGGCACGATGGCGCCCGCAGGGCGCCGTCGCGCACTTCCCCGCTGACAACAACGACGGCGACGTCAGGCCCGTACACGTCATGCGCGAATCCTCCGGACGGCTCGCCGGGTTGACTGCGAGAGGCGCCCGAGGGGGCTGCTCCGGCCGATCTCGGGAGCGAGATAACCTTCAGCTTTCAGAAAAGTAGACCTTAGGTACGCGACCTTCCGGGATACCGAGCGGGACGAAATCGGTTTGACAACGGCTTTTGTACCCGCTTACGTGTAAATTACCGTGAAACGGCATGACTGCTAGGGGAAAGATACGACCTTCGTTACTGCTTTTCTCAATCTTAACTTTCAGGCCGGCGCAACAAATCGCCGCCTCGAGCTGTTTATTGCGTTTGTCGTACGATCAATTTTGCAATTTTCATAAAAAATTCTGTCGTACGACAAATGTAATGTCAGCCTTGTGCGTCCGGATTTTACGGCTACGTCAGTTTGACGCGGCATTCGTTTTCGTAACGATAAGTCTCGCGTACGGAACGACTTCGGGTCAGAGCACAAAGCAACGTGATTTTACGTTTTTCTTTTTAAGCGTTTTAAGCGTATGTTTAAGGCCCGATTTCACCAAACGTCGTTTAACTTTAATCTTAGTTCAATTCACGTTTGTCTCTTTCTAAAGTAACAGTTGAAAAGAGGCAAAGAACGAATTAAGCTAGGCTTAAAGTTAAACAACGTTGGTGAAATCGGGTCTAAGCGTGCGGATTGGGTACAAGCTAGAAAATTTCCAGATACTCGAGAACTGTCCTATGCTGCAGCCAATCAAGACGCTTGAGAAACTTATCGTACGACAAACGTAATAAACGGCTCAAGGCGGAGATATTTCTTTACGACAAAGACGTAAGCGTAAACGTAGATTAGCGCACGAGCTTAGACGTAAATGTAACGTCATATGTAATTGGAGGCGAGTACGACAATTGTGCGTCGACTTCCGACACAGACTTAAGGCTTACGACAATCTTTCTGCTCAGGCCCTTATGAAACTGATCACGCGTGTCACGTAACAATTATCTAGGATTCATTAGGCTTGTTTTCTATTGCTGCACTGGTGAACTAGTGCAGTAAGCGAGAATGAGAAAAAATATACTTGTCCTACTCTAACTTATTGCACTAGTTCACCAGTGCAGCAACAGAAAACAAGCCTATTGGAAGCAGGCAATTGTCGAAAATGGTCTGTCGATATTAACATAATGTATAAGCGAACAAATATCTATGATCTTGTTACCATATTTTACGTTTACGAATTTTCCAAAAAAGTAACTGCGATACGATTTGATTATTTTCGTAAGTCATCGTATATACAATAGATTATTACACGTGCAGGTGTGTCAGAAACTCGTTCGTAAAGGAAAAACACGCAGTAGTGTTTGTAATTCGCATCAGTTTTCGTAACAGGTTTCCTTTTATTTCATCAACAAGAAAGTCATACTTTTTACAATAAAATCGAGGCTTCGACTCTGAGTTTATCGTTGAAAACGTCGCTCGCAGCGTGCAGAGTATCGCGTAATCCGACTTAATACCGAAGACCTCTCTCCCGTCACTCCGTCATCGCGCCTCTCGATTCCGTTTATCGCGTCGCAAGATCCGATAAAACTGCCGACGGCGAGGCGACGAGGTCGCTTGGCACGGACCTGAGCCCCCCCCACCCACGTCGTCTCGCTCGCTCTCGCCCCGGCGATCGCCGCTCTCCGTCGGCGGTGCCGAAGGCGCACGAGTCGTCGCCCCACCCGCCGCCGGTCCGCGGCGGAGACGGCCGAGGCGAGAGCGGCCTGCGCCTTGCGGCTCGGCGCGAGCGCCCTACGTCACAGTAAAGTATGTGCTCCCGCGTGTAGAAAATGGCTGCGCTCTCCGCTAGTACGGGCGGATGTAAATATGGCCTGTGGCTCGGCCTGCTAGTGTTCGCCGCGAGATGCCTTGGCGGTGAGTAAAGTCGGACGTGCGCGACACTCCATCAGGTCGATATCCGTGCCGCGGCGTGCGCGCGTATGCACGCACGCGTCTCGCTGTGCGCCCCGCTCTGTATGCGTACGTACGTGGGTGCGCGTACGGGCGCGAGATGCTGCCTGCCGACGGCAGCGAGGAAGGAAAGGAAAGCGAGGTGCGGAGAACGTCGGCGCTTCGGGCCGCGCGCGAGAGAAGAGAATCGATCGGACGCGGACTGGCCGCGCGTCGCGAGAAACGGCCGCCCTGCTCCCTGCCGTTCGCCTTCTGCCGCACAGATGTTTAACTCGACGATCGCGCCGCGCTCGCCTCCCGTTGTTTCCCCCGTCCTTTTCTCCGCGCCGTCGCTCGAACGCGGAGCGTTCGCTCGTACATCCGCGTCCTCGTCCCGAGTCGGGACCGAGCGAAGGATCGCCCTCGCGCCACCGCGGTAGATCGTCGCTCTAGATCGTGCGCGCTTTTTGCTGCGATTTCGAGGAAGTGCCCCTAGATACGAGGAAGTCGACGCGACCGCGATCGACGGTCCCTCCGCGTGACCCTGTTACCGTCACCGCGACCCTCGCCTCGTTCGCGCGTTTCTCACGACTCCGCGTACGGTGTATGCATTTTCCTCTCGGCCACGCTCTCTCGTCTCTTTTCCTCACGCCAGAAGAAGAGCCGAGCGTTTTCTCATCGATACGCGTCTCGCAGCGGAATTCCTGCGCCGTTCGACATGGCACGCGGCCGTGTTTTTTTTTTTACGTCTGTGCGTCGAGACGAGAACAGGCGAGACGTTAGAGGGAGGGGGAGAGGGAAGACAGAGATGAGAGGTTAGCTGTTTCGACGTCGGGGACTGAAATACCAGCGCGGTGCCGGGAATTCGTGCTGCCTCTCGTCGACTCGACGAGAGTGTCGTTCTCGCGCGTCGTCGCGAGACGCCTTTTCCACTTTTCTCGCTTTCCTCCCCCCTTTTCCTCTCGTGGCGCGTCTCGGCCTCGAGCGCGACCGCTGGACCGACCGGGCCGATCGCCCGCGCGCTACTCTAAGCACGTCGGCGAGGGATGCCGCCGCCGCCGCCTCGCACCAGACTTTAACCCTTCGAGACGCAACGCGACCGTGTGACCGTCGCGTCGCGTTTTTAATACCTTCTTTTCGTCAGCTGCGCGGCGACCGACGTTCTTCGCCGCTCGCGCTTCGATGCGACGACGATGAGAGAATAGAATCTTTATTAAACGCTCCTGAACAAGTCCCCCTAGAGCGTTAGACAAGCTGCACAGAAAAATAATGACGAGTGAGAATGAACTTTTGTATAATAAAAAATTTGAATACAGAAAAATGTATACAATATAAATACGAGAGAGAGAGAGAGAGAAAAGTTACATTATTCGCACCGGACCTTGTTACAGAAATATCGTTGAAACTGGAAACGCGAGAAAAACTTGAGCGGCAAGACTTGAGAGTTGCAACCAATCGAATTTTTCAGCATTGCTTACGTTTCAAAATGACCGCTTACGCACTTGACTCTCATTGGCCATTTCCTTTTAGCCTTAAGTTTTACTGCTCAAGTTTTTTTGTGTATTCGGGTCTTGAAAGCCGTTTCTCTCGGCGCAGCCTTTTTCGGCATACATTTACGACGCGCGAAGTTAGAGTCCCCAAAATGTGCGTTCGTTCGCATATCGGGATAAAGTCAGAACGCGTATATTATTCCTATCAATTATTACAATATTAATATTGTTATTTGTCACACATTAATTCAAATTACGAATTATTACCTTCAGCTACTTTGAGACGTTTCCTAAATGGACAGTCACGAATGTCACGATGCACGAATATATAGGAGGCGTATATCGAATATGCCTCTAAGGTCTTTGGTTAACTGTTAGAAGTTAGTAGACTCTCCATCTTTTACTATGTTATTGTCTTAAAAGAGACAGAATCGTCTAATCTCTCGTTAACAGTTAACCAGAAAATGAAAAACCGGGCCTAAGTTTACAAGGGATCAAGTTCACTATGCACTTAAAAATCCGATAATGATATTGCATTATCTTGGACTCGAGGAATATTCGTAAGAAATTTCATTGTTCCTGCGAAGTAGTCGAATCCCAAAATTAACTAATTTCGAACTTTAGAATAAATGTTTGCAGGATTGGAAATTTACTTGCAGTTGATTTCTGTCGTGAAGAATCGCATTTTACAAATATTGGAATACATTGCGTTATTGTAAATTATAATACATAAGCTATAATAGCAAAGTTGAAAAGGATAAAACAAGAGTAAATAATAAATAAATTCAATAAATAAATAAAATATAGGTTAAGATAAAGGTGTTGATTAAGTCATGTAAATTATTGTGTTTTATGCATAATATTTCTAATAAAGTATGTAAAGTAGTGGTTTTAATTATTCGAAGCTTCGAAGAATCCGAAGAAACTTCGAATATCAAATTTTCGAAGTTTCGAATATTTGATATTCGAAATCAACTAATGCATTAACATATAAGTTTTCAAAGGCTGTACCAAAATTAATTTTCTTCGATTTAATTTTTTTTAAGCAAATGGACTGATATGCCCGACAAAAAGTACGTTTGTTTTTTTATACTTTGTAATGACATTAATTGGCATTTAATTAGTTCACAATTATAATAAAAAAACGATTAATTTTGCAAAATTTGTTAATGTTTTAATCTTGTTAATACATTAGTTGACTTCAAATATTCGAATCTTCGAATTCAATTCTCGAAGAATTTCTACGAAGATTCGAAGCTTCGAAATTGAAAATCCTCAAAGAAAAATCCCAGCTCTAATGAAAAGGCTCGAACGTATTGTATTTAATCTAGGCTCGGAAATAACTCTCGTTTCTGTATCGAGATGCTCGTAGGACATTCGACCAATTTCCTTCAGGTATACCTCAAGCATTGCCTTTGTCTAACTATCGAGAGTTCGATACTACGCCAGAAGATTCGCATCTATTTGTAAGATACTTAACCCCGTTACTAGTTAAGAGAGTAAAGATCGAACTCTGATTAACTTCATCGGCAATTAAATTAATCAGCAAAATTGTTTACTACAACATTTTTTATTATAATAATTCGTTGTCCTATCTCGTTCGTCCTCATGTCTCATGTATTACGAAATATTTATTCTATCCACCTTAACAAGTACAGGTTAATTAGTGCTTTATCGACATTGCCCCGAGACACTGACAGTACAACTAGTAGGTGCGCTCTGTCATTTGTTTCGTTTCGTTTGCGTCGATTCCTTCTGCGCATCCGACATTGTTCTGGGCAGACCAATGAGAGAAAAGTTGTATGCATGGTAGTGTGGCTTTGACGAGTACGTATACACACACAAATCGCTGGATCCTGCCCGAGTGCATGGTGGAATATCACGTGATCGGGCCCGAATAGATCAAAGGGGCCGACAGGGAGTGGACCTACTAGTTATATAGTACTATGCTTATGACCTCGTTAGATTAGAAAAAAATTGTCGCGACAACAATAGTGAAATATAACATAGCGAGATGGGCCGCTGCTTCTGCGGTGAATCATTCTTTGCGCCGTCTGCGAAAAATTAGTGATAATTTTATAAAACTGCCGACTCTAAAGCCCGTATCAGACCACGGACTGATTGTGAGATTGGGATTAGATTGAAAATTGACCGATTAGAGTAAAACTTACTAACTTGAGATTAGTGAACTTTACTGTGATTGGTTAAATCTCAATCTAATCCCGATCTCAATCCGTAGTCCGATACGGGCTTAAAGCCAACGGTACACGATACTATTTTTCCCTACCGGATTACTTACGTGAGCCAATCAGGATTTAAGCCAACGGCACACGATGCAATTTTTCATACCGGATTGCTTACGAGAGCCAATCAGGATGCAGAATTTTTGATCAGGTGGCTTAAAGGCCTAATCAGACTAGCAATTGCAAACGCGGACTGGATTGGGATTGGCGATTGTCCTCTAGCCAATGAGAGCAAAGCAGCCAGCGATTTAATCGACTCTCATTAGCTAGAGGACAGTCGTCAATCGCCAATCCCAATCCAATCCGCGTTTGCAATTGCTAGTCTGATTCGGCCTTATGGCTAAATCCTTATTGGTTCTCGTGAGCAATCCAGTAGGAAAAATAGTGTCGTGTGCCGTTGGCTCAAGACTATCGACTATCGCCAGGCCCGATCTCTCACGGTCATTGACGCCAGACCCCGGATCATCATATTTAGCAATCGTAGCAACGTCGGACGACCACTTTTGGCCCTAAATGCGGCGCGACGCGATGACCGGTCTATGTCTGCCCGTAGCAAATAGAGAGATTGTTTATGTTGTCTCGGCGGACGGGCGTGCGTGCGTAGGGCTCGAAATACATCAAAAGGATTGCAAGCGTCGGCGTCGTTTCAGCGGAACGCGACACTCGTCCCCGTCCCCGTCCGCCTTTCTCTCTCTCTCTCTCGCCGAGGTACACGCCAAATGTAATTTCGCACTGAAAGTGCAGGCCGGCCACGCTCCGCTCACTCTTTCTCCTCTCGTCGCACGCACGCTCTTTCTCTCTGTGTGTATGTCTCTCTCTCGCTCTCTCGCGTCGCGTATGACGTACGACGTGCGATTTTTTCCGCGGGGCTCGCAAGGACATCGCGCGTGCACATCGTGCGTACGAATGAATAAGGCGAATAAAAGGCGGCCTTTCTCAATGCAAGCGCGCGAGCCGTATCCGGGATGTAAAAATATGTTGTTTCGTAACGCTTCTCGCGCGTAATGCAACGAACTCTATCCAAGTGTCGCGGTCCCGGAAACGTGTCGACCGCTATCAGATCGAGATGCATAGCCGCGGGACTTAAGAGGCGTCAAAACGCGACGGAGAGATACGAGAAAGAAAGAAAAAAGAAGAGAAAAAACGCGCGCGCGCTCGCTCGATCGGAATAACAAAGTAATTCTCGGTGAAAAGAATGATTAATGAGATTACCGATAATTTAAGCCCGGGATTAAAAAGCGTCGCGTTCGGT